CTCGAGCCTGGTAGAAACGGTAGTGCCTCAACCTCAAGGTCAAGTTCTCAAAACAAATGCCGGGCGCACACTTCAGCCTTAAATCCAAGTCTTTTGGCTGGCCATTTCTGCAGGCGAGAAGCGGCCCCTCTGCTGCCAGATGTCCGATTTTGCCTAGGCTTGCAGCATCTCCCTCCCAAAGCAATGCTTCAAAGCAGTGCCTCCAAGCGCATCAAGAGTTTTGCAAAGAAATTAAAGAGGCTTTTTTGCTAGACTGACATTTCATAAATATGCCGGCCTTCCCGCAGATCGGCCAACCAGGAACTGAGGACACCCCAAAAACCATCCAAAGGTTGCAGCCCCCACGGGGACCCAAGAGGGGTTATATGGGAACAATGAAAAATGAAATGGGAGCTACCTGAAATGGGCTTATATATAGAAACATTCGTACCAACTTCGAAGACCCGTGTAGCTCTCACTGCTGCTGTAGAATACTTAGGGGATTGGGTCCCTATCATATTAGCTATAATGTAAGCTCCGATTATCTCCCTTAATGACCCCCTATAATGCTCCGCTATAGAATCCCCCATATAACCCCCTTCAGGGAGTCTAGACTGTGGCCGATATGGATTGTATTACAATTTGTCCGGCACATACACGGGAGATCCCCTGTTTAAATCTTACGGATAGTAGTAGGGAATGAGGGGATGGTCCCTATACAACCCCTATATAACCTCTATGTTATCCCTATAATCCCCGTATAAGATACGTTCCCATACACCCTCCTAATCCCCAGTACGCAATGGTGTTGGAGATTCCCACCAACATGCGCCAATTGGGCAGGGCAACTCTCCACGGCCATCTCCTGAGTTGCATTTTAGGAGCTCCAAGCTGGCCACCACTAAAAACAAAGAAACCAGGTTCCTTAGCACATACAAGTACGTACGTGTACGTACATACATACATACATACATACATACATGTGTATGTACAAACACTTATAGCATATGTATGTATATATACATATATACATACATGCAGAGAAACATGCATCGTGGAAACACACGGGAGGACCCCGTAATTTCGCGCAAAATCATACTCCCATCCCGCGCCTCCTCTCCTGACTTGGTTTTGGGGTTTGCTCCCACGTCGCGTAACCTTAAAACTGGGGGTCGCAATCGCACTCCCAGTGTAGAACTTATGTCCCGGCCCCTGGATGGCTCAGAATCGCGCTCTCGCGCCGAGCGTCCTCGTGTTTGGCTCGATATCCCGACTACAGCGCGGAGCGTCATTAGGTTTTGGCTCGAACGCTCTGGGACACGTGGAGAGGTCTTGGAATTGAATGGCTTTTGGAAAGCTCTTGGGATGGCTCAGGCATTCACTTGAAGCGGTTTCGGCATGGTCTTGAAATGGTGTCTTTAGAGTTCGTGGTGATCTTGCACTATTCGGGGAGTACAGAAGACTTTAGTGTCCTTCAAAGCAGCCCAGTCTCGCCCAATCGCACCACAGCTTCTCGATCACTCTCCTGAGAAACTCTGCACTTCTTGGGGCACCCAGAGTTGTGGTGCAATGTGCTGCAGAATAATTTCTCGAATCGGGGCCCAACTGATAACACAACAACTGTTCCTTCAGAACTTCAGATATTTGTTATCATAAGGACCCTGTCAGCAAGCCACAATGAAAAAGCACCCCCTCTTCAATGCCTGCGGCTTCTCTTCTTGACGCTTAAGATGCAAATTCACAAATATATAGACCCAAGATGCACCTGAATTGATTCGGAAACGTGCTGTGTGTTTCCAACATGGAGGACGTGTCCAAACATCTTGATATTGAAAACATGGCTCGACGGTGAACTCGCCGTCCGCAATAAGGTTCTGCTGCCTGCAAGATGAGCACACTGTCCTTCTACTTGTGGCAAGAGAGGACTAGCTCTGTCTCAAACCCCACCAAGACAGCCCGGTAGACTCGCTTGCTTGTCCGTCCTTGAAGTTGAGGAGCCGAGCACTTAGCACATGCTCTGCGTCTGAGCTGCCAGTCCAATGGGAAGATGAACTGAGCTTCCTCTACCGAATAGACGACGATAACACTGGTATCCTTCCTTAGGTTCGGCAAGCGTTCTCTAGGATCCCTACAGTCTTCAAGGTGCTTGGGTAACTTCTGTCTCTCCAATTGTGGATATCCTCATTATAGAGACACCCAAAAACAAACTCGAGTTAACTCGAGTTCGGCATGGAGTTTCCAGGATTCAACCATTGAATTCCGGCAGCTGTTCCTGCTACTTCAGAGGATCTTGTTGTTGCAAGATGCAGCTTTCTTGTCTTCCGAGTTGCTTCAGACATGCAAGACAATCCTGCTGAGTCCCAGAAGCTTGTTGGAGAGTAGCCGGCACCAAAGCTCAGCTCTGCACCTAAGTTAGGGTAACTCCGATTGCGTTGATATATGTGCTGCTGCCTGCGCCAGCATGATGCATCTCAAACAAAATCTTTGCGCACTGTCAGCATGCGAATACACAGCGCAGGCTGAGTAAGCAGCATAATTACGCCGGATACTTAGGGCTGATTACAACATAATCCTGGTTAGGCTTGGCCGTAACTCAGAATCACCTACTTGTAGCTTGCCAGGTCATTGACATGATATGCCGCACGAGTTTGTTCACTCTTCTTAGCCGCAGCACGTCGAGGTGCGAAGCAAGGGAGTACTGGAAAGTGCCTCCGGAGTAAAGCTACAAGAGGATTCCTTCCCCTTTTGAGAACACCAAGTGGCCCCATTGTAGCCGCTATACCCCCTGAGTAGATTCTCAATGAGTGGCAAACTTCTATATCTGAGCTCACCACCAACCTCTGGACAGCCAGGATGTGTAGTTGCAGTGCTTGCCTGGAGCGGGGGGGGGGGGGAATTTTCAAACTTATGGGTCCACACGATCAAACTTTGTACTAATGCTTGGTGAGTAGATGCGATGGATCTCCCAAAAGAAGTACAGCCCTGTGAGCAGGAAAGATGATTGAGTAGGCCACAAAAATCGAATTATCACAGCACACGACAAAGAGAGTTTCCGCCCGACTGTACCCGGCTGTACCATGGTTCTCAAAAGGGTAGGTAGCTTGCTCCAGATTTTGGTGGCTATGTCCATGGTGCAATGTGGGACGGCCACGATTGGCCAAAGACAATTGCGCATTGCAACTACGACTGCACGTGTCGGAGTGCCGTTCCCGCTGTGCACCATTTCCGGGACCAGCGCGACGAAAAGGTCCTTGCTGCAAATGTCTGACGCGCATCGCTCTTATGCTGACATCTTTCCTGCAGACTGCCGGCCGGACCCAATGGACCTTTCCCGTTTTAGAAGGCACGTATACTCAACCGCGGAAACCCTAGAAAGAGGGAAAGAGCTGAAAAGAGAAAGGGTTTGAGGCTGCAGAGTTGTTCCAAGGCAAACGCATGGCATTCTAGACTGCTCATGTCCCAAGGCTCGGCGACTTCCACATAGGCGGGGATGCTCTGGACCTTAGTGAAGCAGCAGGTCCGCTCGGCTCCCAAAACTGGGGGCAAGCTGCATGGGCTCCATAGATCCCATAACAAAAAAAGTTGGACCTACTTCTGCATCTCTATATACTCTTTTGGCAGACATTGCTAGAAAATTCCTGCAAAGGGGCGCTATATGCCTACCCTGCTAGAAAGGTTCTTCAAATTTCATACAAAGCCGAGGCCCCAACTGCCAGGGCAGCATTGGACTGCGTGTCCTCCTCATTTACACCTGCCCATTTGGTAGGTTCCAGGAATTTTGCGGGGTACCATTTTGGGGGGGCCCATAAAAAGGATTATGAGATTTGGGGGGTCTATACTGGGATCCCCCCTGTTGGGAAACTTCCATTTGGTAGTTTGCAAGAGTTCTGGGACTCCCACACCCCTCCTCAAAGCATGGCCAAAACGCGAACCCCTCTCATCGTTTGGATTGATTGAAAACTGGGGTTGCGCAAATTTGACAGAGTGCGGTGGACATGGCTGCACCAAACATGCTGCACTGCTTTTCTGAATTCGAGTACCAAGTACAAGTGATCTTGGTGTAAACATGATCTTGAAACCTTTTGAGCATCGTCACAACCTCACAGACTCCTCAAGTTCCCATATTCTGCGGTCACATGTCCTCTTAGCCAGGTTCCTTAACTTGCGAGCTTTCAACAACCTTCTGAAACCGTGGGAATCAAATCCAAGCCTTTCTTGCGGGCCGTGATCTGTGGAATTGCAAACCAGTCAAAAAAGATATAGCCATCTGCAACCGATTCGCAGGATTTCTTCCTTGGTGGAGCGAAATATTGATGCCACGCTGCCATACTGCACAATGCACAAACCTCTATCCGTCAGCATCCTCACGCAATCCCTACATAGAAGAAGGCTCCCACACTCGTGAGAGAAGCCTGGCAGCACAACACAAACCGCGGTAATGCCAAGGACTGTTGGTGACTCGGAATCAAAATCAGAACCTACTATTCATTACGGATCCCAGAGCTTTCCTCTACAGAACAGCACGCGTGTAGGGAGACCAGGCTCGTCCAAATTGTGTTGATGTCCATCGAAATCAAGTCTGGCTCCACTTGCAGCGACCCATCGATGAAACCTTACCATCTTGTGATTTGAGCCTCTATCAAAGTTATTGAGACAGATGTCAGGGGTTCGCGCAACAAAGACTACATGAGTGTAGGGTGCTTGGCAGCAGGCCTGGTTCTAACAGAAACGCATCATGCATCTGGCCTTAGCCCCTTCGCGCAAGGTTGATTTGAAATTCAGGATTCCCATTCATGTTGTTGGCTGCATCCTGCCTCATCACTTTTTTGTGCATCCTGCCACTAGAGGGTTGCCAATCAACCCGGATCTCTCAAAATGTAGACAAAGAAAATTATTGAAATCCTTCATGTCCCTCGCGGACGTGCCTCTTGTGCAACTGTCTTGTTAGTCTTGATGGCTACTGAAACCTTGGCGGGGCTCGGCCATGCACGCTACCAAGGTTCAATTAACAGGCCAGCAGGTCAAACAGTTGTTGGTTGCATCGAAATTTGCCGACTACTGCAATAGCATCTTTGCATATTGGGGCTTGCATTCTCCTTATTGTTGCAGTCACTCACCGAGGCACTGCTGAAAGCTTGCCGCAGCACTGCAGTCTGTGCCCCGCAGGGATCTGGGTGGCCAGTGCCAAGCCTTCAGAGAGCTCGTGCTGTGACTCGATTTGAACTGTGGCCTAAACTCCTAGTATCCCCCTTAATGACCCCTGCAACGCCCCTGTAATAGTCCCCTATATCATCCCCTATGTAACCCGCTTGAAAGAGTTTAGACTATCCTCTGCCCCAGGCATCCTAGTTTCCAGCTTTGAGTACTGATACTCTTCAGCTCACAAGAGTGACTGGCTCTTGAGCCCTTGCTGTGTTCAGACGGAAGGCCATTGGTGCGAGACGAAAATCACAAACATCCCAGGCCACCATTCATGAAGAAGCCCCTGCTCCATGAGGGCATCATGGGCCTCAGTCTCAACGGGGCCACTAAGAATTCCCATCATGAAATTCAAGCTCTGGCCTGGGGTGGGCCCTCCATCTGCAGGAAGTCCGACACCTGACACTGCTGATAGACAGCAGCGCAGGGTTGCTGACTCTGCAAGAGGCGCCGCATGGTGCATCTTACCGCATTGCTGCAACCAGTTGAAACAGACGTCAAACGAGGCTGGCAACTACTTGGCGGCCTTCACCACATACATTGGGAACGAACAAGGGTGCCTCAGAGGCGGGCTGCGCTTGACACTGCTTCACGCTACCCTCTTGGCTGCTGCCTCAGCCTTGCTCAGATAACTTGAGGTTCTGAACTTCCAAGCTGCACCATCATGGCGCATACGTCTAAGTCTGCCGGATCTTGTTCCGAAGAGCAGCAGCGCGCCCCCATGGCTGAAAGGTAACCTGCAGGCCTTCACCTGGCCACTGCGCTGAAATGGTTCAAGATGAGCTGCGGAAATGTCATGGAGTGCATGCTGAGCATACTAGCGGGGCGTGAAATATGAATGGAGGTAATGTTTCCAGCCATTCGCGAGTTGCGGCGGTACTCAGCACCACATACGCGGCCCAGCAGGGCCCATAAAAGCATCTTGAGGTCTTAGATTCGGCCCTCGCATAAATTGTCTGCACACTAAGGGACACAGGCCAGGTTGATGCACTATAAGATCAAGACCCCTCGGCCCCGAGGGGTCTGGGGCTTCTTGCATGGCCAGGCCCGGCCTTGATCCGAAATGAGCAAAACACGACAAGAAGCCTCCAGAGCGAAATTGGGGCTTACATGAGAGTTGTAAGACATGGTTCTAGCATGCTTTCCCTCAAGCCTTGCCCTCAACCCTTGCAAACATGAGAATGGAACATGAGTAAGTCTGCTGTCTCAGGTCCTGACTGCGTACAGCACAGGGGAGAATCATTGTTCAAAGCTGTAACTACACGGCTCCGCTGTCAGACATGCACTAGCTTGATGTAGGCGCCGGTCTTTGTGGATGACTTCTTTGGAACATCCACAGGCTCCATGGTGACATTGCGCACGCTGCCTCACAGCAAAGCAATTCCCATGTTTGTTCCCAGTTCCCGCGCTCTCTCGACACACCGTGACTGAACCATGCTCTGTTCCAGCTAAAGAGAATTTTGCAATTGCACCCCACGTCGCCTCCAGAAATGGTTTGAACTGTTTGAGGAAATCTGCGCACGTGATCAGCTAGCCGCGCCACACCTCCGAAGAAGGTCAACCCGTGAGTGCTGATTGGAACCTGGGACCTGGCACTGCTTGCCAGGGTCTCCCAGTCGCTATAGGCGGTAAAGACTCAAGATAAGCAAAAAACATTTACACTTTCAGCCGCATGGATCAACCCGAAGACTGCTGCAACGCCACATTGGATTTCTCAAATGTAGGGTTCCTGCCAACACACAGCGTTCGCATTATCCCAGATGTGGAGCCCTCACTGTCATGAAAATCCCATGCCCCATGTCAGAACTCGTCCCTGCTTGCCAAGACACCAACATATCGCCTCAGAATGCAGTCGGCTTTTCTTCAGGCACATGCAGTCTGGCTAAAAAGCTGAGCATCAGCAGAAGCAGACGGATGAGAGCAGCAACACACAAGCCCCGGAACATAAGTAATGATCAGCATTTCCGTCCGCCACACAAATGAAACATTTCCACCTGCTATCAGCCTAGCACATAGTACAACAAAATGAATGTATCGTAAGGCTTTATGGCAGGCATGCAGCGATACTGTGTCTACTTGCAAAACTGATCTAGCCGACAAATCAGCTACTCATGTAGACCCACTACAAAATCGCTACTGCCATTTCAACAGGTGATGTTTCGGAGTGTTTCGGCTAAGGGACGGCTATCTGTACCATGTTCTTCATGGTCACAGGTATCCCTAATCATACTTGCATGGCTCCACGGGTCCCAGGTACGTCTCCTCCGGGCGCTCGCCGCGGCCTTTCACAAGACCCCAGTCGCCAGCATGCAACATGTCCGGCAGTTCAGAACCCAGCCTGCTGGGCCCTCAGACCAGGAAGGGTCTGCAGTGTGGAGCCTTGGCATAACAGTAGTTTCAATTTGATTTTCCATAGTCTTTTCCATGTGATTTTCCATGGTCTTTTCCATGTGGTTCTCCTTTATAGGGTGATCATATCCAGAAAAAGCCACCCCATAAATCCATATGTGACTCTCTATACTAGATTTCACCAAGTATTCCAACATTGCAATGCTGCTCATGAAAACCAGGCATCTCAGATGCCTACCAGCGCACGGGCCGCAGGGGGGACGTGGCCCGCTGAGGAACTTCTTGCGCCTGCCTTCAGTGAGGCTGGTCTACAGTTACTGGGCTACGAATACTGGCAGACTAAACCTCAAACCTCCGGGCCTTTTGACCCTCAGGCATAGGCAGATACAAGCTGCAGTCAACATGATTGGCGAGACTGCGTTCTCCACATGAAGCAAAGCCGCATCTCCTCAGGCCGATGCTGAAACGAAGAGCGGCCTTGAGGCCGAACACAGAAGGCACAGAAGGCACAGGGCAGCTGTCGTCTCCAGAACATTACTGCTGCAGGAGCTAGGGAAACAAAGGTAAACCCACAGAGAAAGAAAATGCCCCACCCGCCAAGAAGAGGAACCAATCAAGTAGATGCTTAGGGAAAGAGCTGTACTCCTTCGTGATGTCAGATTAGCCTGCTACAACTTCACTGAAACCTTCTGCTGCATATTAGTAGCTATAAGCAGCTGCAAGATATCGTCTGGTTGTGATCCGGGTCGTTCCCCACCTAGCTGAACGGTTGAGGCTTCCCAAGATACCAAGCCGTGCGTAAGACCCCGGCTTGGCTGGACTTCGCCAGTCCTGGCCGCGTCAGCACTTGACAGACTGCACAGATGACATGAGCTATACTCCAAACTCCTAGCATCCCCTTTAGTAACTTCTATGATACTTCCCTATATAGTCACCTGTATAACCCCCTTTTAAGGAGTTGGCACTCTAGACCCTAAACCCTAAATAATCCCAACCTAACTGCACTATAATCTCGCTACAACCTATATTGAGCTTTTAAGGAGTTTAGACTATAGTTGGCAAGTTTAGCAGGAGACGACCGATGATAACAAGGGACCTTAAACTTCGCTGCTGGAGGAAAACAACATGCAGAACCCACTCAACCGACTCGAACCTTGGAGATTTTGCTTAACTGGGACACAGGCCAGCGAGCGGGCCGAACTGGCGATGCGGCGCGCTGCGGAGCTTCCGTTGCTGGCCTTGCATTGCCCGGGACTTCCCTACCACTTCATTACCCCGTGCAACTCAAATGAGCTGTTTCCAGCGCTTGCGGGGATAACACCCCCAATATAAAAGGAAGTGGCTATTCCGATGTTTTTTCTTTTGCACGTGGAGCCTCGCTCAAAATGACACTTGCAAGGCTGCAAGAACTCTGCCACAATCCCAACTCCAAAATACCATTGATTCCTTACTAGCATGACGCTTACGAGCAGCATTGAAGAGGACGTAACGCCACTCTCTCTACTGATCAAGCTCCTCACATCAGGTATATCGAAGATAGCACAACAATCTTGGTACTTACTCAGAATTCTGGGCACCCGGAAAAGCTGCTGAGTTCTTACTATGCCAGGCATGGATTTTGAAAAAGAAGTGCGACCTGTCAGTAGGGAGTGTATCGCCCAAAATTGCAGGTTTCCCGCTCTGCTTCTAAGATGAAGGTCGCCACTGCGCCCCGAGTTCCTGGGGCCACGGGCCCTCGTGCTGCCCGCAGCGGGGTTGAGGGCCGCTGAGGGTCTGCACCTGGCCTGGCAAATCTCCGCAGGCTAGGAAAACGTGTTTCAGAACGGCATAAACTTTGAATTGCGTAAATGGACAGAAGCCCTTGTATGCTGCTGCGGGCCAGGAAAGCCTCAAAACCAACTCCCCGAAATGTGAGCTATAGTCTATACTTTTAGTATACCCCTTAATAACCTGTATAATACTCCCCTACACAATCTCCTAGATAAAAAAACTCAAAAGTCCGGAACCTCGCTGCGACTTGCGATAGGTAGCCCGCGGGTGCCACAAAGGAACCGCCCCTCGGAATTAGGGCCATGATGTGAGGTTCCTTTCCCTATCTGCCTGTTCGAGGTTTGGTTAATTCCTGATTTCTTGCCTTTGTCAGAACTTCTATGTTTCCACCTGCCACCTGCTCCATCGAAAGTCTGCAGTCCTGGTTTCAAAGCATACCCAAAGACCAGAGATTCGTTGCACTACGACAATGTCCTGGGTAGCGATCACCCATGCAAAGGGCTGTGCATGTCTGCAATTTGTTGGGCGTGGTAATCATCAAGAGGTCTCTGACATTAAATGCCCGTCCCCCTGTAAACACCAGGTTATCATGGAATAGAGGCATCGCCCGGAGTTGAGTCTGCTCGGCCAAACATCTTTCCTCAAACATAAAGAAGCTGCAAACAGCTCAATCTTGGATCATCCACAGTGAATTGCATAGGTCGAGCCCTTCAGCAGACTCGCGACTGCAAGGACTCTGCAACCTGGCAGACTTTGACGCTCTTGTGAACTGTGAATCCAAAACCTCGCCCTACTGCCTGTAGACCTCTGAGTTGAGCACATCGGCACGTGCAGCTGGCGCGTGGTATACAGCGGGGAGCCTCTGGTTTCGGGCTCGGGCGTGAGAAGTAGCTCGCAGCCCTACCACCAGCTGGGTGCGACGTCTGTACTTTATTCCAACTGCTTGAGATTTGCTATCACCGATGGGCCTGCATGCATGCTTGCTGCTAAAAGCGCATGGATGTGAAGTGTAGCAATTTTGGCGCGGCCAGCCTGGCACCTGTCGTACGTACTCTGCCTCAACAGTGGGCAACACACCCAGCCAGAGGTTCATCTTCCGAGTGGAAGAAGAAAGCAATGCTGCAACAGGCCCATGCATGAGGAGGATCGATGGCCTCATTACACTTCCTTGCCTCTCAAACAGATGACTCCAAAGATAGCAGCACACATCCGTATCTCACAAGCATTCCTTCGCAAGACGATATGCATGAACAGTTGTTCAGAAGACCTCGATAAAAGCTCCCAGCAAACCCTGCACCCTGGAAGCCATAGGGAGGCATTGAGGGAATACCAAATCAGGTAACGGTCTCGATGCTCCACCCTTTTCCAGTAGAACATCGCCAGGCAGAGCCTGCTGCGACACTGGCGCATGCAGAGAGCCAG